GCTCAGAGAAAGAGTGTGAGGGCCAGGGAGCAGATAATCACCTCCTGGAGCGGGCAGAGGGATGGTGGCAGCTTGTCTCATTTGGAAAAGGCCAACAACATCTCTGGAAGCCGATGGTGGCAAGCAAGGCTGCAAACCAGAAGCCACGTGGGGAAGACTAGTACACGGAGACAGCAAAACATGTGAGGTGTGTCCAGAAGAAAGCTAAGTATCTGGTAGGAGATCTATGCACCAGTGCAAAAGGCCCGGGCAAAACAGGGCTCATACTTCCCGAGCTGGTTTCACCACATCTCCGACATTCCTCCACGGAGCAGTTCTGCCCCTGCCCCACCGGGCTACTCCTGCGTCGCACCGCTCCGCATCAATGTTTTAAGAGTGTGCTTAAATAGTATCAATAGCAATTAGAGGAGAAAATCCTGATCTCATGCCCAGACCCAGTTAATTGTCGCAACATTGATTTACTCTAATTTGACTTCTTACTCCAAATTAAACCCGCATTACTGAAGCAGGGGGACCGCAGGCAAACCCTCCCTGCTCACCTCCTCCCCTCCAAGACAATAAATTTAATATTGAATACACTTGGAAAAAAAAACGGCAGTTGTTGCAGGATCCATAGTGAAAGATCTTCTTCCTTCCCCCCTCCCCTCTTTTTTTTTTCTTCCTGCGAGTAATTAAAAGATGCTTTTCTTGACTAATGATCCCCCTGTTTAGAAATGGGAAGTCGATACTCCTTCACCAGCAGTCAGCTTCAATTTGTCACAGGGCTCCCGAAGTTTGAGCGGCGGTTCTCAGGGCTGCTGGTAATTGCTGGAACCAATTACCAGCCTTCCAAAGCTGACCTAATCAGGGACCCACGGACACCACTGCTCAGAGGCCAGCTGGTCCCTTTTCTCTTTCACATTCACATATCCGCCTGTGCTTGAGTTTTGTGCCGCTTCGCCAACTTTTCGTGCTCACCAGGAGCTCGTGTTTATCCCTCTTCCCTCCCTGTAATCACGCCAACACCCTCAGTCTGAACGTTGCCTCATGCCACTGCTGCTTCCTCGGGGACCCCAGTTTCATGCGAGAGGCTATCCAAGCTGTTGCTTTTGATCCAAAGGCACCAAATGACCTGGAGATCTGCTAATTTTATAAGCTGCCTCTCAGACTTGATGAGAGCTAGCACGTGTTAACGTTAGAGGACGTACCTGAGCAATATATCCTTAATGAAAGTAACAGGACTAATGCCTTTTGCTACAAAATTCTCAGACTTTGAGTTCACACCACCAATCTGAGATCCTTTCTGACCTTCAAAATACACTTCCAGGTTTATCTTTCCCCACGACTTCCTCAGAGAAAGAGTTTTAAGTGAATTTGAGTGGACTAGGAAAGGACAGCAGTGTAGTATATTTCATGTGGTTTAAGTTTGATAATGTTTATCTTATTTTTGAGTGTACAAAATTGAAGATGCGAGCTGTAGTCACAGCCTGGCACAGCTCTGTTTTCAGAAATATTAGTGACATTTTCCTGAGTAAGATTCCTTAATCATGCCGTGACCTAGAGTAGCTGTTTGGCAATTACTCCTGCAAAACATCCATCTACCTGGGTCCCTCCACTCTTCCCTCTACTCAACAGAAACGCAGGGGATGTCACTGCAATGATTCAGCAATGAGTGTCAACTTCTTCCAAGCTGAAGGAACTGCTTTTGAAACCATGTCACGACTTCCAGGTTCCTTTTAGTCCAGCACGTGAACGCTCCTCCAGCCTCCCAGCCCAACAGATTCAGTACCTGAGGAGCAGTCAACACCCCTTCTTTTGCCCCTAGAAAGCCTGTGGGTTTCCACTGATGGCTTCGTCTCCAACAGAAAGACGCAACATGAAATGGTGCAACCCATGCATGTCTGATCCCCTCTACAAGTGTCCATTAACTGAGGGTCCATCATTGTCCTGACAACTTTTGGTGCTCTGGGGGGTGGCACAGTAGAGACAGAAGAGTTAAGAGACATGTCTATCATAAAGAAAACCATGAGAAGACTGTATTTATCTAAGGTCTTTACTGACTCTTTGTGCTAAGCTTTTGAACCAGTTGGGGGAATGGTTAAGAGATCTGTTCTTGTGTTTCCAACACTTTGTTTGCAGGAACAGCCTAAAGATCTGAGCAAACATGGAAAGCCATGAAGGGTGGACTAATGAGTATATCAAGTGGAACTGAAAATGAGAACACTACACAGGACAGATGTAGTAAAGTGGGGCTGCAGAAGGGAACGTCCATATGAACCAGCTCAGGAGAAACTTGGAGGAAAACATGGCAGCACTTCCCTCTCCCATCCGATGGGGCTTTGATGAGAACTCCTTAAAGCAGGAGCATGTTGAGCGTGCGAGCCTCTTCACAGTGGCTCTCAGACTCTGGCTGATCCCAGAGCTCACCAGCATGGGCTGGAACAGCCCCTCAGCAACAGCTCTCAGCTCTCTTCCCCTCCAGAAGGAGTTCTGCTGAATGCTTCTTTCTTCCTTGATCTCCAAGTATCCCTGGACTCCCTCCATCCTTCCCCCAGAACTCCAAATCTCAGCTCCCTGCCATATTTCTACTTGCTTACTTTCTTGCCTCTTCCCTGATTCCCTCAACTTCAGTTGCCTTTTCCCTCTTCGGTCCCTCAACGACAAAAAAAGGGGGTTTGTTTAAGCCCATTTCAGGTTCATTGTAGCTGCTTCTGATAGGATTCCTCACGTACAACTGCAAACAGCAGCGAGAAAATGGAATGCACAACCTATAGCTAAAGAACTTGAACTTATTTTCTTGCCACATCTTGGACAGAAGGCTTATGATGCTAGTAAAGACCAAAGTAAAGTACAAAAGGAGGAACTCACTTTGAAAAAGAAGACCTTTCAGATACTTATGCAAAAAATATCAATTCAGTACCAGATGCAAGCAGCAGAAAAAATGGGAGCAGCAAAGCAAGATTACAATTGCTTTGTGGGAAAATTTTCACATAATCTTAATTCTATTTTTTCTAGCAGCTCTTCCATCATAAGTGTGCACTTGGACACACAGTTGGCAATACATATTTATAAAATGAATCTTTTTGTCCAAAAATGTTACAGTGAAGGAGAGAAAGTGCAATTATGTTACTGACAAACATGAGCAGCTGAATATAAACATGAAGATGTACAGAAGCAAAGAAGAATTAAAGTAAGTGCAGAACATGAGATACAAAGAGAACAACGTTGATTTTCTGTAAGTAAAACTCAATTCCAAACATAAAAAACTGAATTATTTAATTCAGATGGATGGCACTCTGTTCATCACAGTGACATATATTTTAGATTTTTCATGATAATATCTTTATTATATTAATACTAAAATAATGTTTTTTTTTAAAAATAAAAATCCAATTGAATGTAAACCTTTTCTTTTTAAGTATTTAGAATTGATGTATCTCTCCAGCTCACCTCAGCAGTAAGGAGCAGCATATATTTGTTAGGTGCAACAATATAAAATCTCTGGATTAAAGTAATACTAATGACCGAAAGGCAGCAATAAGTTGATTTCAATCTACCTGATGAAATCATTTTACTAGCTGTCTAGTAATATACATGTATACAGCAGACATACAGTTTATGTATGAACAAAACCTTGGTGTAGGTCTCCCTGAACATTTTTATATGCATAGTCATTCATCTAAGTAGCCTGATTAATGTACTGGCTTCATTCTCGAAGATGAACCAAAGGTGGCACCACAAATTCATTTTTCAGTGCTAACGAAATAATGCAATAAGAAACAGTTGACTTTACTACAGACAATAGTACAAACCTACTCCTACACTGTAGGAGGTATATGCTCCCAGGTTATAATTTCACTTGATCTGCTACTGGAAAAAGCAGGATCCAGAGACATACGTCAACAAAATCAGAATATAATTCCCTGATTTCTCTCATATGCAGGGGCAAATGCTGAGAGCCAAACCTCCACGGTGCTGTTTGCTACCAGGGGACTGACCAGGGCTCGGATGCAGGCTGACCCCCTGGAGCTCCCCCTAAGACAATTACAACTCGCTTCTGAAGACAACTTCAAAGGTTGGCCCAGCTGTGCAAGGTAGCCCAGAAGGTCCTTCTCCTGCCTGAACACACACCCCCCCCCCCCCCCCCCCCCGAAACACAGTCAGCCAGAGGTCACTCTGCTTCCCCCAAGGAAACACCTTAGTTGTAACTAGCAGCACTTACATCTCAAATCTACTAAAATCAGGAAGGTATTTTCAAAACATCTTTCCCTGACACTGATCAGGATAAATTAAGCATAAAAATCCTTTAGCTTTTGGTAGGACAACACGTTGCAGAAAGAAGATTTTCGCTGTGTTGAGCTATGAGAGGTAGGCAAAATAATCTTCTCATAGGAAAAACACCCCCCCACTAACTTATGGTTTCACATATATCACATAAAAAATATAAGCAAGTCCACAGCAAGCAGGACTTTCAACATCCATCATGAGAACCCAAAGACCCAACAGCCAGGTACAAATTCCCAGGTGAGCCTGAACTATTGAAGGCAGATTATTAATCCCAAACTGATAGTCCAAGAGCCAGGAACCTTGTGGCCGAAGGAAACAAAGAAATGCATTACAGTATAATTCAGATTGAGGAACAACCAGAAGGGAGGTTTCCATCTCCCGCCATTTTGCTGGTCAGTCATCTGAACAAAAAAATTGTAGAGCTGCTGAGGAAACCATCACAAGAGTGAAAAAGTGACGGGGTCACTCAACTTTTGACACCCCCCATTTGACATGTGTTCTTCCTGGGCATGCAGTGAAGATATATATATAATATACGTAATGATTTTTACAAGGCGTACTCCAAGGGAGGATTTTAAAAGTCCACGTTGTAAAACTCTGTAACGTCCCACCACCTCTGCCTGCAATGCCAGAAGGAGGATTTATGGGCTCACAGCTTACAGCCTCAGCCACGGGCGGTATCACACACTACCCGCCCGCCGTGTGCCACGGTGAGATGGAGTGGGAAAGCCTACCTCGTGGAGTCTGACGAAGGTTTCATATGGCCTTGGCTGCTCTCCTCCCAGACGCTGTTTGCTAGCTCGTTCCCGATAGAAGACATCACCTTGATGAGCTCTAGAGGCCAGTCATCCAGGTCGAGAGAGCGGACCCGGGAGAGGTGCGTGCCAAGGTTTCGGTGTATACCTGAGCATTCGATACACATGAGGGCTCCCAGATTCAAGCTGGCCCAGTCGGGGTCTACAGGAAAAGGGACACAAGCAATTAGTGCAATGAAACACCTAACAAGCCTTTCTGGTTAATGTCTGTGGATAAAGATTTTGGCTCGGGAGCAATAAAAACCCATGCAGGTGTCCTGTCCAAAAGCACGGTTGGAAGGTCTTCTGGTAGAGTCAGTTTTGCCCTGTGGAGATGCTAACTCTTCTGAGAAACCCTCAAGGAGCAGAAAAAATTGTGGAGGGGGGTCTTAAAAGATGTATCATTCTACCTCTGGTCAAAAGAAAGATTGGAATTAGAGAAAAAAGAAGAAACAAAGAAAATACAAATGCGCTGACAGACAGCTGATGATGAAGTAGAGGAGAAAGTCCCTCCTTGGGAATCTAGAGCCACTCGTAGCCAATTACAAGGGGAAAAGGAGGAAAAAAAAAAAAAAAAAGCGTGACTAGATACAATGTCTCTGTTGCTAACTATATCAACTCCCTTAATAACCATCTATATCATCACCTACATATGGCTTTTACATCTAACACACTATGGGGTATGTTTTCATCTCTAAGATCAGGGAGATAAGTACTAAGATGAAAATGTGATACTTTGAACAGTCCCAGTTTTAGTGTACGAGCCAGAAGGATTCCACTGACACACACACACACACACACACACACACACACACAAAATAACCCCGCAAATGATGAGGCTGTGACAAACCTGACAAAAGCCGGGAAATTCAAAGTCATTTCCCAAGATGGTTCACTTTTTTGTCACTGTCCTGTGTTATTTAAATCTAGATTTGTATGAATCTCCTCTCCAACAAACATTCATTTTAACCAATGCAGTGAAAGACGAATGGGAGGAATTTTTTGTGGCTTTTTTTTAATCTCCCCTGCTGTCAGATCTTTTCTTCTTGCCTTACCCTGGGCCTCCCAAAGAACTAGCATGCTATCTTGAATGCTAAACAGGAAAATGGTGATTAATTGAGAGGGCAGGCAATTTTTATTCAAATCTAAATAAAATCTAGAGCTGATAGAAAATTAACTTCCAGTGTCCCCTTCCATTCAGGATAATTTCATCCAACAACTCATTTCAACTTTGTGTAAGCCAAAAATGAAAGGTTATTTTTTGTCAGCCAAAATATATGGAAACAAAACACTTCCTAGTTCTATGCTATGTCACCTATGGACAAAAAATATGAAAGGAAAGCAGACAATTTTAATTGCAAAGTCCTGCATTTCACTGAAGGCACCAATTGGTATTTTTCAGTCAGTCCTTAGCAATCTAAAAATATCCTTGACAAGAAAAATCCCCCCATCTTACTTCACTTGAGCAGAAAAACATATATTTTGTTTTAGAAGTCTCTGTGCATACCAAGTCTTGTATTAGGAATACACAGCATTTCAGATCTCCAGAAAATAAGGTGAGACAGAACTCCTGCCATGCTTTCCAAGTCCTTGGTAGGATAACCATCACATACTCCTTTCCAGCATACTTCTTCAGGTCATCTCCACCAATTTCGGTGTCTTGCCAGTGGGGGAACCAGTAGTATATTTGAAACTCACTAAAAAACCCGAAATACTAATTTGTCAGTAAAAGCTTAAATACAGCAGATAATAATTTAAGATTTGCAAACTGTGACTTGGAATGAAACCTCTGTCCCTGACCTGCAAAGGCCAGGGTTATCTTCACAAAAATAAAAAGCGCAATGAGCTCAAAGAGGCACAAACTCTGAAGCAAGAGAAAAAAATACTGATTTATATTTTTCCAATTATTCTAACAGCGTTGATGTTAAGGTCCTGACCTCCCTCCCAAACACCTCTGTGTACTTGAAGCCCATCCAGCGTAGCTTTTACTGAATACATTTTAAAAATATTCACCTGTGTCCAACTGACAGTGCTGGTATGATTGAAGTAGCCCACCTAAGCAATAACCAAGAAGTTACCTGAAATTTTGTCAAGATAGTATTTTAAATTTCAACAATCTGACAACCCACAGCTGAGTATGAAGGTGGCAAACTAGGAAAGGCAAGTGTTGAACTCATTACAGACATCCAGTGAAAAAACAGACCTGCTGATCTTGGTTACAACTGGATAATGTAGAGCAAGACAGGGCTCTAATGAGGAGCTTGGTCAAGTGGCAGCGTTGGATGGATTCTGGGAAAAAAATGATGTGATATCACTTACGACAACCCTTTCAGTGTGTGCACATGAAAAACTGTTCTCAAAAGGATGTATGCTCGATGACAGAAGTCAATACCCACCGATAATTAAGGCAAGTTATTGAAAACTACATGCTCAGAGTTGTCCCTATTTGCAAATCATTGCTCCTATCTGCATCTTCCTCTTCTCATATGTAGTTGAGCACTTTCAAAATCCCATGCTTGAAAACTGTTATCACTGATCTGTACTGAAAAGAACCACATGTGTTTAATAAGCCATAACTATTCAAGCTTTTTTTTCTTTGCTTTTTTTTTTTTTTTTCAAGAAGATGATAAAAAATCAGCTCCCCTAGCTGATGCTAAGAGTAATTCTGAATTGGAGGATGCTCAGAATACTCACAAGCACTTAAAATGCTTCTCTCCAGTATGCACACATCCAGATTTGATGGTAAAAGATAGAAAAAGCCCATTCAATGCAGCCAGAGGTGTTATAAAGCTGTTTTCCCCTCTTTGTTTTACTTAAAATTTGTCAAACAAAATAAGGGATTTCTAACATCACTGAATATATCCAGATTACAATTTTCAGCTGTCCATATTCTTAAAGGTGTTTAGTGCTCTCCTCTAGAAACCTCCTCCCCACTTTGACTTGCAACTCAATCAGATTGATCATTTGAAGGTGGAAACTCTTGGAACAGCTCTTTCAGAAGAATAACCCCTCCCCACAGTCTCCTTCACCCCTCTGGACCAGAGGTGGTTGATGAAAGGCTTTGCCATGCTAAATTCTCATGAGTTCATGTGTAAGATAGCTCAGGGGTGAGCAGAGGGAATCTCTAAAGGGAGGGGCAGAAGAGCCAGGGAAATAAAAAGCAGGGCTGAAGGCATCTTGCAGAGTCACAGCAGAAGAAAGAGAAAAGTTTGCATTTTTTCTGTTCCTTGAGAGTTTTTTTTTTTCTATTCTGCATATCAAACTGAATTTTGTGTTGGGTATACCATACCCCTTGGCTTGCCAGGGCCACCCAAATTATTATTTCAGTATTTAGCTCTCAAATACAAAATACATCATAGTGAGTTATTAGACTCCTGGGCTGGAAAACTCTCACCCTTTAAGCTCTCCTTGTTTTCTTCTACAACAGAAAAGACCTGATATTCCACACTCTCCAGATAAGAGAGTGACTCCTCTCACCTGCTCTTTAAGCAGCAAGACTGGATGAGCTAAAATCCTTCGGGGTTTGCCTAAGCAATTTGATCACCTTCAGTGCCTTCTCCAGACAGAAGTCGACACTGGGACTCTCATGCTCTGGGAAAAGGCAACATCAGTTTCCTTCCAAAACATGAGATGAGATCTTCCTGGGCAAAAGCTCCAACACCTAAAGAGCACTCTGCCTCATCTATTGCTCTGGGAGGGGAACTGTTAGAAAAAGGACTTTGAAATACTTTAGTTTGAGACTGCCAAAGGGCCAGAAGGCTGGTGGCACACAGATGCTGCTGGTACTACTGCTGCTGATTAACATACAACAAGGCAGAAATTCCCTGGTGAAACAAAGTGCTGTGATGAAGTGCTAAAAAGGCAAAGAGCTCTAGAAAGGAGGAAGAATGAGACTTCTGAAGTGGAAGATTGATGGCTCTTGAATAGAGCTGAGGGACGGCAACATCTCCTATTTCTTTGCTCCCAAACATCTGGCTTTGTGAAGATGCAAACTACCTAAGCATTACACAAGAGTGCTGGTGTTTGTGATGCTAAATGCTCCCGGGGTAAGGACTTGCCCAGGCGAGGCAGAAAGGGAGAGAAGGAAATAAAGCAAAGCCTGGCAGAAAAAGCAGCAGGCTGAGGTTCACCTCATGTTCGTGTCTACATTTTAAGATACACCGCTTTGGAAATGCCTCCATTTTTTCAAAAGGAACAACGGTGACCTTAAAATTAGGAAAGCCAAACGGCAAGAAGCATCTAAGAGGGTATTAAGCATCTCCCAAGAATACAAACAATTACGAGGTTCCAGCTGAGATGCCAAAATTACCCTACCCCCCCCCCCCCCCCCCCCCCCCAAGCTACACAACAGAGCGCTGAGTGTTGCCAAAAAGGGCAGTCCCACCCTGCCCTCTCCCAGCAACATGTTCTTGGCACATCCCTCCTGTTGGCATCATGCATGCATGGCCAGCTTGACCCATGAAACAATCTGGATGAAAACCAACCTGGCTGAAATGAAAGAGGGGAAAAAAAAAAAAAAAAAAAAGAGAAGAATCAAAAAATAGCGCTGCTTTCTTGCAAAATCGTTTTTCTGATTAAACACCTAGCTTGGCTCCGTAAATACTGGGGTATGTGCATGACTGGGGAGAGAAACACACAGACCTTGGGGATAGTGTGGACTCTGGGTAAAGCTGAAATGGACCGTGGATACATCAGAAGGAAGCGTGTGGGTGTGGGAAGTTGTCTGCAGTGAAAGCATCGTGCATCCCCCCTCTGCCTGGGTGACCAGTAAGCAGGGTCTAGGAAGATGCCACCCACAGCTGTACGGACTGGAGCAGAAATCTGTAGTACTCCCATCGTGGTCTGCTCACAGACATTAGTGAGTACTTCAAATGAGCTAAATATACATCTAGGTCACTTGAAGACCCTGTCCTCCTCGTATACACAGCACAGCATCTTATATGCCTTTTACTCGAACTATAGAAAAGCTTTGGTGTAAATCTGAATGAACATCAGGTCAATATGAAAGAACACTAATAAATAAGAGTCACTTTGGTCTGTCTGTGTTTAAAATACCAGCCAAACCAACATATTCTCTTGTTTACCGCATGCTGGATTACTAGCCAGTGGAACGTAAAGACCTGACTTTATCAATGTTGCTATTATTTCTCTCTGCCTGTGAAAAGCCCCTGTGAAATTTCTCTTTGGGATCTCCCTCCAGCAGGTCAACAAGCTGTTTAGCCACCATCCCAGTCCTGGTGCTCAAAGCCCGGCCCAGCCAGGCTCACAGCCCTGCGTGCTGGACCCCCGGGGATTTGTTCTTCACCCATCTCCCGCGGACAGCACACAAATATCTGACAGTTTACTGAGAAGCAACTAAAACCAGTCCGTATGTGATGCAAATTTCGATGGTATGGAAAAATCTGTTCTATTTTAAATGGCTGTTAACGTTCTAACCACCTTCCCTTCAAGCCTTCTAGGGATGAGGCATGGGATAATAGGTTGGTTTGGTGGATGGCCAAATCAGCTAACTTGCTAACTATACAGAGAGAAAATTAGTTGTGCAAAAGCACTTGCATTTCCATATGAAAGTTCATTTTAAAGTTATCTGGGATGTCAGAATGGCTTAGCCAGTAGTCAAAATCCTAAACAGCAAGCCTTAAAAAAAAATTATGCCCAAAGAAAAATAAATGAATGTTTTCCCATGTAAAATCACCAAAGTTCTGACCTTCAGATATCAAAGAAATAAAAATGCACACATTCTCAATCCTTCTGCTTCTACAACTAATTGCTTTAGAGCAAGAGTACTTCCTTTTTGTGGCTTTGTTGCAAACCCCTGGAACTAAAGAGCACCAGAATAATGACCTCAGCCAGGGTTAGTGAGGTGAACTGCAGCTCAAAGTATTCTTGAGAACACTTTTCTGAACACTAAGTATATGTTTTAAAAAATAAAAAAAAGGGAAAGAAACACAAAGGGGAGGAAAAAAAAAATCCCAAATCAGTTTTCTAGTATCCAGATAATGAGCAATGACTTTGGTTTCTTCTGACAAGTAACTCTAAAAAAACCAAACCGAAAAAACACCAATCAAACTTTACCTCTTTGAAAATATTACCATGGCACATGTGCCCTCTCCACGCAAAGTGGGAAGAAATGGAAGTAACTGATGTCAAATAGCAAACTACTTTTTCCTTTTCTTCAAAGGAAAGTAAAGAAATGCTGACATTTAAAGTGGCATGTGAAACAACAAGGGGAAAAAAATAGGACGCATCTGACACAGCATATATTAAGTGTAAATTAACATAAAATAAGTCTGAATAAGCAAACTCCATAATGAAGAAGAAATGGGCAAACAACATATGGAACGTAACACCAAAAAAGACAAAGCCCATGATGGGCGTTCGCTTAAGTCTTGGTCCAGGAGAAGAAATCAATTTTCTGGAGTCACGTGGGCGTACTTACTCTGTGCTTCGCAGTCCACGCAGTGGGAATTGCCTCGGATGTTCCTTATGGACTGAAGGGCCATGGCCTCGTTCTGACTCGTCAGGCGGGACTGCGCAGATTTAAAGACAGGCATGAGCAACAAACAAGAACCCAACCAAATCAGATGACTCAACTGTCAGCTGAACAAAAGGCAAAACCAAAGCTTAGACCAAGGTTGAATGAACATGATCAGGGAACCTCAAGTCCTTGGTTTGCCTCTCAAAAAACGGTGACCCTTTGGCATCTCCAAGTACTGCAAGTTCACGCCTGCCAAGCAGGGACTCCTCTCTCCTTCCACGCTTGACAGCTTGGGATTTCTCCCAGAGCTCTCTCCACCCTGTGCAGGAGCTCCCGGTGTGCCAGGGTCTCCAGCCTGGATTCTAACAAATGGGGAGAACGCACAGAGCAAAACTGAGCTTGAAAATGAACCCTGCTATTCACAGGAACAGTAGTCACACAGTATGTTTGCTTCTTGAGATAAACGAGGTAAGCATATTATTTTATAAAATCAATTTCTTTTATCGATGTGTATGCTTTTGCTAATGAAGACTAAGGGACGGTTTGCAAAAGCAGCTGAAACCTTTTTATCATCAAAAGGTCAGATTTAATCAGATGGCTCCCATTTAAATTCTCTCCATGATGACCTGCCAATGACCTCCACTTGGACCTGGAGAGACTGCCACGATGTACAAGTAGTTTAGCTCTATCCAACTAAACTGTCTTGTGTGCTCTCTGAGAGCTGATTTAAGCAGGATGAGGACCAGGTCTTAAGTACGGCCATGTGGAGATATGTCCTCCTGATCTATCAACAAGACACCTACTAAACCTGTCCAACTAACTGCACTTTGCTATTCCAACTAGTTCTTCTGACATGTTTTGAAACCTCAGTAATACTTTACAGGAAAAAAAACCCTCCCTGAGCCACTTACCAGCCACTCTTTATCCTCTCTTGTATTAGTATTTTTATATAGATGTTAGTGTATAAATTTCCTCTTTTGTGCTTCCTTAACATCCATATTAGAATGTGTAAATCCATGAAAGGCAAGAAAACACGTAAGCAGTGATTTTTCTCTATCTCAGAAATACATATTGGAAATAAATAAATCTTTTAAACAAAATGGGAAGTAAATTATATTATGATGATGATAATAACTGGTGTCTGATCTACTCTGGTAGATCAAGGCAATGAAAGCAGGCATTCATTTCAAAATACAAGTCTCCTCCTTGCAATATAAAACCATTAAAGACAACTGTTAGGTGGATAATGTTAAGGGATCTACAGGTCTGAACAATTATTGCCCATTTCTCTCCCTTGACTACCACCCAACACATTGCTCTCTAGCTGTGATGAGTTTGTAGACACAGAGACTCGAGAAGAAGTTTTCCTGCCCTTCCAAAAATGAGCAATGGCTGAGAAAGTCTCAGATTTTCAACATTTATTTTGAGAGGAAAGGGCAAGAGATTACTTCTGTCATCATATGAAAACACTACAAGGTAGAAGGCCTGTTCCTCTTAGGCTGTGTTCTTCTTCCTCCAAAAAACTTTGATGAACTGTTCCTGGATTTGCTTTGTGTTATATTAGTTAAGGCAGAAAACCATAAAAAATCAATTCAGTGTAATTAAAGAAGAATTGCACATATGCTTTGATTTCTGTGACTTGTATTACTTCATCATGGCAGAATCCTGTGGCTGAGCATTACTGCACATTTATGGTCAGGCCAACCTGAACGTTCAGTTAAATTTTGTCATGCAGGAGCTTAGTAGATATAACTAGAGATTCAACTAGTAAATACGCTGGTTTTGGGGTCTGCCTCCACTCTTCTATGAAATGGGCTTTTCCTAAAGATCCCTCTGCAGACCTCTAACCTGAAATAAAACCTGAATCTGCAGCAGTGACTACACTATGCTACTTCTCTGTGGGGATGGTCTGTGACCAAGCCCTAAATTTCAGTCAAAATTATAAGAGTAATACCGAATACAAAAAAATGATAACCCAGGAGATCCATTAATTCAATTGCTGTAAAAAATAAACTGTAAAACAGGCTACGGCACCAGCTGTCTTGAAATATCTGAGATATGCCTGCAGGTCTAATGCCACTCTGTTGTGTGCGTAATACATGCACATCTCTAGGAATACAGGTTTAAAATTCAGAGCTCTTGATTTTGCTTTCATCTTCATGATCATCCACCCATTACTTATTTTCAGTATTACTCTGGGTACCATACCTTGTTCTTGCTGCTCTCACATGACTGTAAACTGGCCAAGATCTGACTCTCTATGGCTTGTACCCACGCATCTCTTTCTTCATATGTGGTAGCTTCAAAGTGCCAAGTCTGGCCGGTGAGAGAGACAATGATAAACTCAAAGTTTTCTTCTTGTTCTGAAAAAAACATGCAATAGGAAGAAAAGATTAAGTTTAAGGATATTGATAGCTAGGCCCAAACAATCTTGGTTGATGAGCATTTCTGCAGTGTAACAAGCACATGCAGGTCTGGACGTCTGAGGTTTGAGGCTGGATATATCCAATTACCCTACAGTTGCACAATGCATCAGAAAACGACTTGCAGATCCACTGCTTTTTCTCTCCAAATGTTATCTAGATAGAGCAGTGTTTTGGGTAAATATTCAGGTCCTGGGTGTGTTTGTGGATTTGGTATCAGTCTACCTGCTTCTCAAACACAAAGTGGCTAACAAGCATTATTTTGATTTAAACCTGAGGTGCTAAGAGCTACATAATGTAAAAATCAAAGTGCATCACAAAATAACTTAAAAGATGAATGGACTATAAAGAGCTGACTATACAGAAAATCTGACAATTTACCCTCTTCCATCAAGCAGTTTTTTACATGCACAGATATATTAAAAGCAGGTGTGTACATTTTCTTGTCTATAGCATAAATACACTGGGTTATAATACAGGATTAAAATCAGTTCAACCTATTCAACATTCACATTCAACACGGGAGATGAGAAAATGATCTGAGAAGCTAGCAGAAAGGGTCAGTGAAATATCCTTAGGGCTACTAGAGTATAAGGACAAGTATTCAGGCCAGAGGACCGCAGTATATGAAAATACCAGCAGAACTGAACTAAATGGACACGCACTCTAACTACACATGGGACACCAAAGTCAAATTAAAGAAATCAAGGAAGCTGAAACAGAGCAAGTGGAATTGGGAAGGGCAAGCACAAAGCATGAAAGGAAAAGAATAATAGAGCACAAAGTTCTGGTGAACATCAGCCATAATGGGCTTTAGAAAGAGCATTTACAACCGCTTGTCTGCTAATGACTTATTATATATTCAGAGCCATGAAACTCCTGCATTACCTTGTCGTCATAAGCATACAAAGGTAAGTGACAAATCTAGCACTAGCTTTAAGGACAGTCCTGCTGCTCACTGGCAGTCATTTTCTCAGCCTGTGGGACAACTGGTTTTCTTTGATAAACTCCACGCTAGCAAGGCCAGTGCTTACACTGCTTCAATGATGCCTCAAAAAATAGCAGAAGCTTACTTTGCACCTTGAGGTGAGAATAAACACAGAGCTGAAGGTTATTTCCAGGTGCACATGGACACCTGAAAGCAGCATTTTACTAAAGAAATAGCGTGTGGGATAAGTGGGAAAAGAAAAATAAGAGACAGTGTATCTGTACAGCTACAACTGCTTTTCCATTTTAGCGTCACTGTCTTAGAAACAAACGGGTAGAACCGTTATCCAAAACGCTACAAAGAAATTATGGAGAAAGCCACATTTATCAAACAGAGCTTTCAAGAGTTTATCAGGAAGATGTAAGAGGAATTACTCAACAGTAAAGGAAATTACATTCAGTCCTGTGCGCTGTCTCCTGCAGGACAACATGGATATGGTCTTCTATTTAGGTTGAAGTGGTATGGCATATGGGGAGCCATAGCTCTGCATATGCCTGTAGCTCTCCCCACTGACCTGATGGGAGAGGTACAGGCACATGCATATATTGATGAAAACAGGGAATGACGGTGAAGGAAGAGAATACGAACAACTGAATCCCACCTGAAGCAGCCCCCTGCAGTCTTTTTTAGGAAATTTATCATTTTACGTCCTTTCAAGCGATAAAAAAATTGTACTAAAGGATTTCCAAATGCTGGTCATTAAACGTTCAGAAAAGCCTCTATATAAATTACGCAGTGCGGGTGGTACTGAAACGTGTATCGTTAGTGCAGGGATCCTGCAATATGCAGTGACACAAAAGCCCTTTTCAGCCTCACTTCATTTTCTGCATCTCATGCCCTTCTCCCTCAGACGTTCTCTTCTCCACTCGCAGCTCTGTTCCAGGACACATCATATTTTCCCTACACCTTTTTCCCCTGACCGTATGCCATACTATTCCTACGTAACCCAAAGGTTTGGTATAAGCTGAAGGAGCTGCCTACTAGAGAAAACAGTCATCTTGCCACCTCAAGTTAAGAATTCCCCATACCTCCTTTTTAAGCAGGGAAGATACTGTTAGAAACCCTGAAGGGATGCAAAGACACAGATGAGGACAACAAGAGAGGAGATTTCTCCAGCGCACTGGCAGGGCTGATTCTCAATGCATAATGAAGAATATACGGTATATAACTAATGCTCAAGAGATACATATGGTGTATGTTTAGAGAGTCGCTCTGCACTACTGTAGCAGTTCATCCCAGCACTTACATACTAGGTGACTTGCCAGCATTACAATTCTAGACGTGAAAATGAGTATACACAATCAAGCTGCAGCATCACTGGATCCTCCTATCTCCCATTTCCCAATAACCCTGATCACATACGTGAAGCTGGTTTACCCAGGAAGGGCGTATGAGAAATGAACTCTGCCATTCAGCCAGCGTCCTGTATAAAAACGAGGTTGAAATACCATCCTCGCAGCAGCATCCCTGCAAGCTTTGTTTTCCAGAAATGCTACACAAAGTTATTCCCCTGCTTACGGGAGACCTAGGGCAGAGGACACAAACCTGGCTATTCCTGCGAGCGCAGTGCAATTCAGGAAACCCCTCCAGCCATTTCCCGTGGCTGCTCTTTTACACTCCAAGTCTCCTTTCCCTAAAGGAGAGGCTCCCTTGTTTCATCCTCTGACCTTTTCTGCTGTGACCAGCTGACACCATTGACAAAAGCTGCAAAGACCTTCCAGACCTTACACAGCCTTTGTGGTGCGGGATCGTAAAGTCCATGTAACACCCTGGTAGGTTTGTCCCAGTACAGCCCCATGGTGGGTTACGAGGGCTGCAGCGTGTTTTAAGGCCGAGCTGGAAGGACATTTTCAGTTCAGCAGTAAGTTAGCTGAAAACTTGGTCATCGCTGATGACACATTAAGAACATACAAGTTTTCACTCTCCGATATCCACGGAAGCTTCAGGTTTGCTCCCTGAAAAGCTCAGATGAAAAGCAACTGTGCTGGTTGAAAATGTGTTCAATAATACCTTCCCTGCTTAAACACACCAAGTTTTTTTTTTGTAAGCGCAGTTGTGAAACAAAGCAGCAGTGCCTGCTCCACATCACCCACAGGGCAATGCCTACAAAAACTGAGTAGCAAACATGTATATCCTTAACCACCACATACACGAACAGGAAAATCTGGGTGGCGGAATGAAATTGTTCAGTTTTACTCTTCAGTAACATTATAGGTTGTGCTATTTAAATCCCTGTGAGCCCAATCACAAAATTTTATTAAACAGTTTTCCATGTTTAACAGTTATTCATGGAAAGGTCCACTATAATAGTATTTTAGCACCATCAACCTGTCGAAATCAACCTGCCCAATTACTCCAAACTACATTAATAACACCGGATATTACACTAATTGTGTCCAGTTTCTATGCAGACGAGGTCCCGCGGGGCTAATTTTGCATCCTCAGGGGCAAGCAACTCAGCCATCAACCTGATTTCACTAGGAATCCCTCCTCATTACACAAGTCCAGGCTGTCAAACTTTTTTTTTTAAAAAAAGGTTAATGGGCCAATCAGTCATCAATTATTTCCTGGAAGGCCAGCAGACAAAGGGTTAAAGTGTAGGGAACCAGCTGCAACTGATTTCCATTTGGAAGTTATTATCAACAGGAGATGTCTAAAATGCTGTTGTTGTTGTTTGTTTTTCCTTTTTTTTTTTTTTTTTTTTAAGTGGGAAGGGGCAGCTAGGATGGGAAATGAGCTGAAACTGTAAGATTATGATGACATGGAACCTTAAGCATAAGAGATTATTTTTTTTTTTTTTTAGTGGAAGTGGGCACACCATCAGTGAATTTTAGGAAAACAACCATACCATCCTAACCACCACACCACTTCCAAGAAGCTACCACGGTACCACTGTTTATGCTGCACGTACTGTTTCGCCATTATCTTTTAATAGTAAAGTTACTGCATTTAACCCAAGTTAACATTTAATTTGCTCTTCCAAAATACAGACACTGGTACAGCCCACCCACTTACAGAAAACATGATACACAATTTCTTAGAAGCAAAGGCTTGTGCAAGGGAAAACAAACATTTAGGCATTGTCTCACTGCATTCCTGTACCAATGCCTGTGTTTATTGAATGTAACAGAGATCAGATTTAGAAAACTACACTGAAAATAACTACAGGATACAATTAGTCTATAACTTGTTCCAGAGAATTCAATTAGGTCTACTAAAATGTAGGGAAAACACATGTCCAGAAGCAGTTACGCCTCTTGGTATCCTGTAAGAGCAGTTCTGTATCAGTTTGCTCACAATTTCCACTTCCAACAGAGTTTATTTTCAATATTAAGAACTGCATCAATAGCCACTTACACCTTACACCACTGCTGGGTAACCACAAGCACAGATTGAAGTCGACAGAAGACAAGGGCCCCTTTCTGCCAGATACTCTACAGTCAGAGATTATACCCTGCCCAAAAGTTCATTTTTAAACAAAAAACCAGTTCTATCTTTCCATGGGTATAAAACAAAGGCTTGTCAGGCTTAAGGTATTTCTCATAGGCATATATGAATATTTTGTCGGAATCAGAAATAAAGCTGGATCTCCTGGCTTCTAAGCCAACCAGCCTCTTTCCCTAGGTGCTGGATCGTGCGTTTGCATCTTTGCCCAACGTAGCTGTCATCAGAAGATGCTGGTGCTGCCGCTAATTAACAGTAACTCACTGTGCACGTCTGGTGGATGATGCCACTCACGTAGGAAACACTTTCCAGAAAGAAGAAGTCAAGTGCAGAACCAAAAGATTCTCAATGGTGTATTTCAAACACCCGTGAAGCATCTTCAAGAGTTGAGGTTACAGCCTGAAACCTAGTTGAAGCCTGCCTCAAGTAACACTGAGACCTATTTAAACTCCCTTTTTATCACACCCTTCTCCCTCTCTCAAAAATTGCTTCTGCTCAAGCACCCTTCTTTAATAACCCTTCATCTTTTCAAAAGGATGAGAATGAAAAACTGCTGAGGTGCCCTAGCAATCACAATAGATGTTTACAGTATACTATTTGTTTACAACAAAAGCACATGTTATTTACGTACTACATAATTTTAACTATCATTACCTTTTGCCACTTGGTGTAAATTATCCCTGTAACTTGAAAGATAAGTATGTTTATTAGCAGCCTCAATTAAGGAAATATTTGTGCCATGTCCCACTGGGCATGACTATGCTAATACTTCTCTCCCCTTTCCAAACCCAGTGTCTAAATCTAATTAGTTTTGAAAATCAACCCTATCAGGACAATATAGCTCTGCTATCGGTTGCCCACAGCTCTTGATAAAGGTTGTGTTCCACTGGAAGAATTTTTCAGTGGTACTGTTTTATATCGCTACCCCTGAGTGACAAACTGGTGATGGAAGGCTGGTTTCTAGCCCAAGGGACTAAGACCCCGCTGCCATATGTACATGTTGTTTTATTTGGATGCTGAGACAACACGGTTTAAAGAAATCCATACAGTAATTTCAAAATTCAGTTCATACAGTACGTGAGCCTACACTTGCATTAGGTGTTTCCTAACACATTTCAAGCCTGTGGTTTACTTTTTAAATTATATGTGTTTCCAAGCTGAAGAGCTTGCTTAACCGAGAGGTGTTGCAAAGCAGAGTCTGTTGGGCAGAGCTTATCTCTGAACAGCCTCCCCCCTCCACCCGCCAGTTAGCAAAAGTGAACTTTCTGCACAGGCACAGCACCACGGCAGCGACGGCATCACTACCTTTTAAACAACAGGTAGTTTGGGAGTTAATGGATGTGCGGAAGAAAAGTTTTCCGTGAGAGCCTGGCAACTCCAATGCAGCCATGTCTAACATGTCACATATATAACCGTGGAGAGTGGAAAAATCAGGATTTCATACTCTTATGCATGTTAAACCATAGCACGCAGAGCACAGCCACTTAATTTTGTAAAGATACTCCTTTCTGCTGTGCTGCAAACTCTGTTGAGATAGGAAAAATAATTTTGTATTTTAATAATACTGCTATAATAGCAGGTACAAGCGACTCCAGCCTGTCTTAAAACCAGAGCGGGGTCTGTTTTAAGTGCGACACACTGATACTACATACTTTCCACTTAGAGAATCAAAGGATTGCTTAAAGCCTGGCTGCCTGCAATAAGAAGCAGGTGGGACTTTTTTCATTTGTCGGTGGCTCCTCCCTACAGAAAATCTGAAAACTAAGAGTTTTAGGCAAACTCTAAAATTAAGTAAAGTAAGATTTCTTGCCATCGTACAAAACTGATGAAGGAACACCAATGGAGGATGTAGCTGTGCAATGCCTCGCTTCTCTCTGACCTCAGAAGTCAGAGTCCTTCAGCTGTGACCTTACACCCAGCCACCGCTGTGAAAACCCTGTCCCCTTCCTCTGTGTCCAGGACAGACCCGTCAGTAATGCAATATTTTTGCTATCAAATAGCCAAGAGCCACATCCAGAGAGGACTCTCAGCTTTGCACGGCGCACAGCAAAAGGTGACCCTGTGTGGGCACGAGGGACCCCCAGGCTGAGGACCATCCATACACCCGCTCCTGCCAAGCATCTGCAAAACAGCTGCAGCACCTGAGCTGTAGTTTTCTCCAGCTTAGTCAGAGATTTTGCTGCCTGGAAGCATACAGCATACCTACAAAATAATCGGACTGGCGTTAAAAATTATGGGAGAGGCTGCTTTCTAGATCAAGCTTTCAAAAATGGGACTGTACACGATGGAAATACTTTTGGTCTGTAAAAAGGTTTAAGTGCAATTGAGCAAGAATGTGCTAAAGACCAAAGCAGATTTGTTATTCTGGACTGTCATTTCCTATCATCGTTCTCTTTTTTGAAGGCATAATTATCTAAACATGTGGCTTTTAATACTTGCAATGCTCATTAACCCAACATTTGCATGTCTCAACATTCCGGCTTTCACACAAAGGCTTAAGGTACCAGCTCAAAGATGCAAAGCTATGGGGTACATTAAACGTGGGGATAATACTTCCTAAAAAAGACACATTTGCCTCATTTCAGAATATCATTTTGATGATATGTCTCAAAACTCTTTGGACCATAGCCATCAGGAACATGTTCCCACATGCTCATCCAAGATGCATTTGCTACTTAGATTGATCAGTAAGAGAAAAGATTCCTCAAACTAGATAGGCTCTAAAAAAATTAAATTTTTATCTGTAGAACACAAGGGAATTCTTTGTACTTGTTTCCCTGGTGCAGTTTAATAAGAGGTAGATATAAAATCACACGCTTCTCAAGCAGTAAACCCGTCACAATAAACATGCTCGCACACGGATTAGAAGAAAAATCTGGCTGGGAGATGAAAAACAGAAAATGCATACAAAATTATAAATCATTAAGAAGTATCCAGTTAGTTTCCTATTAAATTGAAAAAAAAAAAAAAACAACCAAACTTATTAATGTCCGACAACAACTTTCTCTCATTTCATATTTTGCACTTCATACTTGAAAAGATAACAAAAAGGATCAAAATAGGCAGTTTTGCAACTGTTGCTCTGAAAGGTAATAATTTTACATTTACGCTGAGAAATAAAACAAAATTATAATTAAAAAAGCTTCCTTAACAAGCTGCAGTAAAATCACACTTTTGTTTCCTATGCACACTTTGTTTGGCAGCGAGAGCAAGGCATCCGACAGCAATAGAGCAGTAATTGTGCAAAAAAAGGACGGTGATATAAATCACCAAAGGTTAATGATCAGGATGTGAACAGAGGGACTTGTTTACAGAAATAGCATGCAATTTAAAATTTACAAGAGATTTAATGCCACCGCTTGGCAATCACTAAAATCAACAGCCCAGAAAACAGTGACATTAAGAAAAATATTACAGTTATAATCATTCCAAAATAAGTCAATTAGTGTTAGGGCATGCGCTTGCGATTACTTGACCCATTTGGTTCGCACTTAAGTGAAGAAAAAAAAAAAATCCCCCTCCCTTATACTGAGATTACTGAGTTGTGACCTATTTTGCATTCCCTATTTCTTACACCATCCCTCTTACATGCTGCTGGAGATGGTGGCGGAGTTGTTTTGCTTTTTTGCTTTTTTTTTTTCTTTTCTTGCCTAGCTTCCAAGTAATTCTGACCTTTGGCATTTGTAATAATAAGAAAAAAGTAAAAAAAAAAAAAAAAAAAAAAGGAAGTTTATAATTGTGTTGTTCAAATGAAGGTGGAGGGGGGGGATGTAAAATTCAATGTGTTATTATACAAAAGCCATGACGGCTGTCTTCGGTGGAAAAAAAGCAATGTAAGTCAATTTGTGAACTTTGGCACCAGGTGACCTTTAGAAATACAACAATATACAGAATTTACAAGCAAGAGTAGCACATGCAAATGACCCGGCACTGTCTCGCCTTTGGATTAGAGCTGCAAAGAGCATTATGGAGAAGGCTTGCACAAAACAAATTAAGACTGTTACTTAAATGTCACGGCACACTATTGTATTTGGCTACAGATCATTACACCTGATACTAACACTTTTAAAAACTGTAATAACTTGGGAAATATTACATTGAGTGCCCACATGTAGAAAGGGAAAATATATATATATATATATAAAAATAAATAAAAGAAGAAAATGGGTTCCTGAAGTAATTTAAACATCACCACGACTAGAGGGAAAGGTCAAAATTTAAGTAAGCTGAAAGGAACATGAATGGCAAAATAAAATGCACAAACAAAAAGATGAAAAGACCAACTGGAATGACTCTGCAAACACGAGATGAAAGCACGCATGCTTTGGGCAAATTTGATTTCCATGCCTGCACTGGGTAAGGGAGAGACGCAAGGAAGACGATTTTCAGAAAAGTGGGTTAAAAAAAGGGGTAAGAGAGGAGGTGTTCATCTAAAACGGGTGGGTTTGTTACCTTCGGTGTTGGTGCTGCTGCTGCTGTATATATTTCGCAGGCTACCAACACGGTTTAGTTTCCAAGCTTTGCGTTTGGCTGCGTCCAGAGAGCAGAAGGGGAAGAGAAAAAAAAGAGAATAAAAATAAAGAAAAAGGAGGGGGGAAAAAAAGAATGAAAAAGGGGAGAAAAGAAACATCAAAATAGCATGTGAAGTAAAATACAAGCACAAGCCTGTTAACACGTGAAGAGCTACACACAGAAGACGCACACAGGACCACACAGCCTCTCCAATCCACAGACGATACAGAAAGCCTCTTATTGAGAGTGATTTTTTAAGTCTCTACAACATGACACGATTTGACAAGATTAAATGGATCCGCTATTGGAGTAGACAAAACCAGACCAGCAGAAGTCAAAAAACGCGGGAAGTATTTGTACAGAGGGTTCACAACTAGACAAAACAGCTACTGTAAAATGCGATTTAATGAATAAACACAGACAGACAAAAGCTCCTTTTCTTCCAAAAGCCTGTATTAAACACTTGGTGCCTGTAGTTCACCTTTAATCACCCTTAAACCATCTTTTTACATCATCACCTTTAAAAGTTGAGGTGATGATGCAAAGGCCTTAAATCCTCATAACAAAAAAGCATGTTATTTGCAGCATTGAGCGCAGAGGCATTACTTCATTATTTTGAAGAGTGTCAAGTAGACGTTGATGCAATTGATGTTTGTGGCCCTCCCTTCCTCCGCCAGGCAAATCACTGCAAAAATCAAAGTGTTTATTTGAAAAAAGAAAAAAAAAAAAGTATATTCTTTACATAAGAGGCAACGCCCTCGCTTTATTAGAATTGCCCCAAATGTTGAGATTGTCTGGGTTCTCAGCTGCCGTTTTACAATTAGCGGAAAATATTGCTCAAAAGCACTCCGCTCCCGTGCTCGTTAGGAGAGAGCATTTTTTCACGTTCTTTAAAATCGACATGTTTTGCCTCAAGAGTGAATTCACAGCGTGAGAAATACGTTCAATCAACAGTACGTTTAGCCTGAGTTTCATCTGCCAGGGAACACGTGAAACACCCGAGGACACCGTGACACTGCTGGCACCTAACAGCGACTGGAATAGCAGAGACGCCCCCTCCCCTTCACCCACGGGCACCCCCACGTCTGAGGAGGAGACCGGGGATCTGCTAAAAGCGGTCCGTGTCAGCTTACCTAGTCAAGAAATACCGATGCAGTGTTGCCGGGCATGCAACTGCTTTGTAAAATCTGTTTGAGAGGAGCAGGGAAGAGATCACGGGGGTCAGTGACAAGTGGAAGAGCATCCAGACCTCCTTCTGAGCCGCCTTGCTCAGCAGGTCACCCAGCCCTCCTGCCCACGGACAGTGGAGAGCTTTAAGTTTGGGTGTGAGACTTCTAAAACGGACAGCACCGGTTACATTATGATTAATTTCTAAGATGTATTTGAAAATGAAACAGCCTTCCGTTCAGCTCAGAGTCTGTCACGAAGAAACTCACATGGGAAATCGGGAGTAAGACCATCCTTCCCCTCACCACAGATGCTCCTCACCCTTTAGGAGGACATGAACATCGCACAACATAGCGAGTACTGTGATACAATCATTTTCAACTTTTCTTCCTATATGTATAAGAGAACTTCTTTAGCGTCCCATGAAACTCAGACCAAACGGTTGCTTCCACAGAAAAGGAACAGTGACGTGAAATCATTCAAATCTTTAACAAAGAGCTTGATTTTTGGCTAAAGAGCTAAGGCTGGAAGAGGAATGCCTAAACACCCCAGACTGTTAAGCTATATACTCTTCTAATGAAGCCATCTGCAGGCTTTAATGCTATATACTCAAGAGGAGGAATGGATGTCTGAGTGGCATCCTTTAGAATGTATCTTGCTGAAATGAAAATAGCTAACGTTATCTGGAAGGCTAAGTTAGATCTATCTAAAAATGAAAGTTCATCAAATCTAAAAATATCTTATTGGGTGCATCCTTCAATATGAAAAAAAATATTCAGTTTTAAGACCTGTTTAACAAGTCCCAGCACCTACAGAGGCACAATTTCCCAGCAGAAAACTTGTTTTTCCTGAAAAGCATTTACATATAAATAGGCAAAATCGAGGTTTGGCACCCCTCAGGAAGGGAAGACGGTCTCCAGTACACAAAGACCCTTTCCCAGTCCCTTTTCATTTTTCACACTTTAATGGCACGTTAGAGTACGGCCGTGTGAGCAGGAAGTGAACTCGCAGCCTGGTTTTCTATTAACCTATTGATGAAATAATCCATTCTAATGTGTTAAGTGTCATGCTTTTTTCTTCTCTTTAAACAAATGGACTTTTTCACAGTGATGCTGAGGTCCTGATACATCCGAGTGTGTCCTTTAGCATCGATTAGGCTCCAGCCTGCTTCTTCGTGGTGCTCTGCTGTCGTTGAGGATTCAGTAATATTATCAGCAGCCGGGTTTGGACACTGCCAAGCGCAGCCTCCGCGAGGCCATTGATGTGTGCACGAACACCAGGGCCCAGCTTAGCCATCCTACCCTGCCTGCCTCCAAAATTACATGCTGTCTACACATTTTTGTTACCTACCAACAAGGCTTTAACGGGCACTGGAGGTCATTATTTGCCTAGCTTGTCTTTGACTTATATCCCAAGATATTCAGTCTGTCTGCTCTGGCTTCACTTGATGGTTCAAAAGTTAATTAAACAAAAGCTCTTGTTGCCAACTCTGGAGATATATATATATATATATATATATAAATATATATATCTATATATAATACATATACACTTAAACAAACAAATAAACCCCAACTGGTTTCCAATAAAAAGCTATAAAAAATAGTTTCTTCATTATTTAACAGCAATCAAAGCTCCCTAATTAGAAAGATCTTTAAGGCTGATTGAAGTATTTTCTGGAAGCCTGTTTTCTTCAAAAAAGCCACTAAGAAGTGTCTCTACTTCGAGACACTAGAAAAAACCAAACACCTCTCTCAAACATCAAATATCTGGAATGAAGTTAACTATTTCCCAGAAGACACCAGGTATTTGGTTTAGCTTGTACTGAGGGGGCAGCTTGTATTCTGCCTAGTACATTGTGCTACCAAAATCTGAATGACTAACATATTTGAATAACGTTTCAAGAAAATCTTTTATTAACTTTGACACTTGCCCTGATCTCTGGCTTCGCTGCTGACAGAAAACCAACACCTCACAGCAATCAAAGTGGTCCCCCCATCCCGACCAGCGTGCAGACACGGCATAGCAGCACAGTTTCTGCTCTTAGCCAAGCTCATTAACTCCAGAAATTTAGGTTGCCAAGATTAAACTCCTATCTTTGCCTGGCAAATTAATCTGTGCATTCTAACGCTCAATCTGGACCAGCAGAAGAAATCATTATCCGTTACCCAACAGCCCAGAGTTCAGCTTTTAACAACCCTGGGAAACAACGGCGGGATCGCTGCAACCTTCGACTTGACGCAAGCCATCATCCAGCCATTCCACCCAGTAGTGACCCCAGGAAGGAATCCCAATGCACCCAACTGTGAAAGCTTTGACTCTCTTGGAGCCTGAGATGTGGGGTTTTTTTAAGATGAAGGGTTAAAGCGATTTCTTGAGTTCTTGTGAGGCAGCTGGTTTCAACTGTATTCAACTACGATGGGATGCATCACTCATGTGGCACATACTTACTGGGTTATCTTGTTCAGATGTACCAGTTAAAGACCTGGAACCCACCAGATTGATTTGCAAGGAGGAAAGAATGATGTGCTTCTATGTAACTGTGTCAAGTGTTACAACAGGCCATATCTATATCAATTTTTTTATATCAGGAGCTATTCCTCAGGTAGGACAGAGGTCAGCAATTGTTCAATCCTACCAAAAAAATATTCAGCAGCTAGCTGAAAATCTCCACGTGCTGTAAAAGAACCACACGTTATCTAAACAGACATGTCAGCTCAGCCCTTGAAAGTCACAGACCAAGCTGGGGAGTGAATTTTCCCCTCTCAGTAATGTAGAAATTAGAAAGTTGCTCATTTCCACCAAAACGTCACCTGCAGTGCCTTGCAATGCTGCTATTCATTTGGAAAGAAGTAATTCCTGGGTTTGCACATGCCTGACACACAAGCAGTTGCTTGTTTAATCAAACTGCCTGGGTTTGGGTTTTTTTTTTTTTTTTTTTTTCCTTCTTGTTGTTGTTTGGGATTTTGTTGTTTTTCTTGAGGTTTGTTTAGTGTCACTCTAAATTTCATCATAATTTTTATGGCAAATGAATGATGTGAACAATTGCAAACTTTTGTTGTGGTAAAACTCTGCAATCCAGGAGGGAGGACTGGATGAGCCCGTTTCCTTCCCCATCAAAGGGATTATTGTGTGTATATAACCACAGCCTCTCCAGAAGCCCTCCTGCTTCCCTCCTCCCCTCCTCCTACTTCACTTATTCAAGTTGCTCTTGCAATCTTTTTAGTTTTAATCCCAGCTCTGTGTTTCAGGGGTATCTGAAATGTGGCAGCTCAGACTTTTAGAAAAGTACCTTGCTACCACCTTTCCATATAAACACTAAAAAAACCCCATCCAGCCCAAACAGTATAAGGCAAAACACTTTTTAGTGTTCATTCAGGCCTCATCTATGACCATTTATAATTAAAAAAAAAAAAAAAAAAAAAAAAAAAGGATTTCCCAGGTGTTGTCCATGACCTGCACCTTGCCTCAAGAGTTCACAGAAGCCCTGGCCAGGACAAATGTGTCCCGGTGTCAGGAGTTGAGCCTGGCCTTCAGCACCCACAGGCTCTGCACTGACCTAAGACCCAGGCAATGACAGAACACTTGCTTGAGCCACTCAGAAAAGTGCCCTCCTGCGTAATTTCTATCAGCAAACACAGCTTCTCTGGTTGCACACTCCTTGCCTACAGCTGGGAAGCGGACACAGCCCTGCAAAGCAGCACGCCAAAACACATATTGCTACTCAGCCCGTCACAAGGGCTGATAAATATTTTTCAATGGCTGTGCTCGCTATAAAACAGGGCTATCGCGCCAGTGATATGTTGTTTCAGAGGGAGTTGCATTAGCCATGACAGCTGTCAAGTTTTCTT